AGAGAGAGAGAGAGAGAGAGAGAGAGAGAGAGTTACAACCTTGAATTATTAATACGTTCATGTTTACCTCCCATGCAGGCACCTCCACCCCACCCCACCCCCTTTTAATTTTGTGGAATCACTTTGAAAATCAGGGAGTTTTTTATTGAACAACTATGTAAACATACTATGAAATCTGGAAAGGCTGCTGATTTATCTGACTATTACTCTAAGCAGGATTTCTGTAGTCTAATACTACTGTAAGCCTCCTTTGAAGCGTGAGGAGAGGTGGGTTATAAGAGCTTTCACAGATAAATAAAATAAACCAGGACATCCATGAAAACACACGAATATCTATTCATTTTAAAAGAAGTGTAAGATTCCAGCCATCATGGCTGCAGAGAAACAGGAAGGACACTGCTGGGATCCAAAGCTCCAAAAGGCTTTCATGCAAACAGAACTTCCGCTTCAGTGAAGGCTGCCCTGCTTCCCCTGCCCCACCCCGCCCCACATAAAGCGGGGCCGACCCTGCTCGCATAGGCTCAGCAGAATCCTTCCCTTTTCGAATCTCCACCGGAAAGGAGAATGAAGACGGAAACTCGGGGCACACGGTCGGTTCACCTGCAAGGGGACAGGCTAAATGGCTACTTTAAATATTTACTTCGTTTCTCCCCAGTGGGGGCCCAAAGCGGCTTGTATCGCTCTCCCCCCCCCCCCCCCCCCCCCGGGTTCTATCCTCACAATAACCCTGCCCAGGTAGGTTAGGCTGAGTGTGTGGGACTCGCCCCAAAAGTCACCCAGCAAGCTTTCACGGCAGAGTGGGGATTCGAACCCGGGGCGCCATGCTGGCTCTCAGAAATGGCTGGGTCACGGCATGAATTACCCATGAGGCCAGGAGAGGGGCCAGAAGCAGCCTGGCAAAAAACAAACAAACCCACGTGCCTGGGCCCCAGCGCCAACTGACAGTCCCTTCCCAACGAACATCTATGCCGACTGTGAATGTTACCGGGATTTGGTCTTCTGTTCCTGTGAACGGATCTGGGAGCCAATCCGAGATGAACCCTGACACTGAAGTATAATGAAATAATTAAGCAGACGAACACCATATGTACCATTCGGCCTGCTTTCTCTGCTCAGCAAGCTCGTGCAGACGCCGGAGGGCTTTCTCCTGCTTCCTTTCATCTTTCCGGGATCTTGATGAGACATTACGAGCGAACTCTCTTTGCTTCAGATCCTTCAA